AATCTTTAAGGTAACAGGGGTCATTTTTATCAACTTGTCTGGAGGGAATGTGCCATTGTAGTGTTTGCACACCCATGTGAGAATCAGGTTTAAGTTTCGCTACAGCCAAACACATTCCCATGTAGACATCATCAATAGGAAATATTTGGACCGATGCAGATATTTTGTAAATGACCAAAGCTGTATAGCCTGACAGAAGGTATCCCCCACCTCCACAGTAGGGTGGGTAAATATTCTTGTCATACACCTGTGTGGGAATGAAGTACTTATTATTTGGGTCTCTTTTAGGCATTGCATTTTGCAACAGATGTCCAGTAAAAAGGTGCTTCCTTCCATTATTATCTTTAAGACTTTGAAGATATTCAACCATGTTGTCAGTGTGGGCAAAAACATCATCATCACCATTCAGCAGAAATCGAGCCTGTGGACAACTTCTGTCCATCCACTCAAGGAAGAGTATCTGCTTCAAAGTGAGGTTGAAAAAGGAATCCTTAAAATCCCATTGGAGGATGTCATTGTAATGTTGGTGCTCCCACATGACAAGTTTGTTCAATTTCTCCTCCTCGAAACCTGAACCGCCAGTTCCGATAATAAAGATTCTTCGAATCACTTTTCCCTTATAGGACCTCTCAGCAGCCCAGGTCTTGCGCGCAGAACCTCTCTTCGCTCGTAGTTCTGTGGGGAACTTTTAATTACAAGCAAAAGAAAGACGTCCTCAGGCTCATCATCTCCTTGACATTTGTCAGGAAGGTCCAGAATTATGGGGAAACTGCGACAGTGACGATAGTAAAGGAAGTCTTGAAACATAGGGGAAAGGGACTCAAAGCCAGAGACATTTTCAAACATTGTGTTTTGTTCACATCTTGCTGTTAGGTTTTGTGACACCCTCTTCTTTTCCAATTGCCAATTTGACGATGGGGAAATTTTGTGTAAAAATGAAGGTATCCAGACAAGGTTGGCACTAGATTGAGGTGTTGAGATGTTTTGTTGGTCATTGGAATAAAGAAGTACCAGAAGGATCATCAGCAGTAATACAGTTGTGGCACAGGTGTTCATCACTCTCAAAATTCTGAAATCAAAGAAACATAAAGAAATGGAGCTTAGAATGACAACTCATCTATGTCTTATGTAAATACTTCCACTGCATTGTTTCTTCTGTCTTGTTTTACAGAGGAATTTAGGAACAGATTCTTTCCTAGTAGATGCCTTTTACATAGTCGACCGAACACTGTCACTTTAAATCAATAAGAGATCTGTGCAATGGGAATTTACATTAATATGCTTATAAAAAAGGTTTGGGTGACTTTTAACCTTTTGACTAAATTTGAAGAAAAGTTTGGCTACTGACTGTATTTCTCTTCCAAGACTCATGACAGTCTGCCACATTTTCATCAGAGAGGAGAAAAATAAACAAAATGACAGGGAGGTGATAAAAAAAGACTCATTTAACTCTAAAAACTTGTAGATTACAGTTTTATTGAGGTAAAAATGCTAAAATTGAATAAAGTAATCTATAAACAAATATTCACATAAACCTTACGACAAGGGACATGGGATCTTTTTCTTCTCATTATCTGGCATAATTTCAGAGTAAACATTCCCGTGTTAGGGCTAGTAGGATTAGCAAAATTTCTTCTATTTGCTAAGTGCCTGGAATAAAGGGAGATGTATTTACATGTTTTATATTATTTTTTAAACTTTGGTCAGATTCAGAAGTGAAAATACAGATTTACTTTATATGCAAATGTGAGGTTTCAGACTTTTCATGCGCAACAATAAGAAGGAAGTGAAAAGAAATTCAACAGACACACACAGGCAAACAAATATACAAAGAACCCAGCCCATTTAAAAAATCTTATGGGAAGATTAATGTTTCATGTTTGTATTGATTTCTTTATTTCATAACAGTCTAATAAAAAAGGACAAGACAACTCACCAACACCTTCGGTTGAAATTGAATCACAGAGATGGACAAAGATTTTATTGCAAATTTTATAAGCAACATGTATTTTTTAATACAGGCTGCATTGCTAAATGAGTAGGAAGATCTCTATAATGTGATTGCATTACTTTTTGTGATCTTGATGCTAAGACAATAGATTAATTTTGAATTTTGTTCGGATTAAGGCTAATAAACAGCAACAAAAGGCTTAAAGTAAGGCTCACAGATTAAGATACAGATCTTTTATACAGTTTTATAGTTATACCATAAGGTTTTTAGTTTAGTCAGAAAAAGTCTTAATATTGTGATGATATTTAGGATAAAATAACTTATTTCATAATGAATACCAAGTCAACATTTCAAAAGATTTGTAGCCTTTCTATTTTCACATAAAGATGAAAACAATAACTGCTTTTTTACTTTCAAACATAGTTTTGAAAAAGAGATAGTGATGAAAAATGAAAACCTATAAAGAGAAGATAAAATATGACTCGAAATTTGTGACATACCTCCTGATTATTGTGAAAAGCAATCTAACTTCACAGAGGATAAATATCCAGTTATGAACAACAATGTACTTTACAAAACATTTTACAAACAAATGACCCTTTTAATTGATCAGAAACATTCAGGTGATCAAAATAACATATAAACTAAGCACAGCCCATAAATGTGGAAACTAATTTTACTATAATTACCTGACCATGTTGGTAGATGGTGAGTGCCTGATGAAATGACGAATTTATTCAATAAAGCAGGAAGAAATATCTTTTGAAGCCACACGTTTGAAAATTCTCACCTAAGCTACTTGTGAGACTGACAGGTCCTACATTACGTCTGTTAAGATATGTGTTAGATATTCAAGTTTTTTCACGATGCTGACATGTCAATAAACTGGTAGAGCAGGAAGTATTTCAGTTCTCTACCTTCATCTTCATTAGGCTTAACATTGAAGGATTGCAGTTGGAAAACAAATAGTTTACAGTTAATCTCAGTAGACCTATAACACAACGATCATACATTAAAAAAATTCTCACAGATCAAGACCAAACCCACTAATAGAATAGTAAAATATAATGTAACTTTTTCCATGAAATAACTTTTATTGGAATTTTTTCTTTTATCCCGTCAATTTAGTGAATACAAAAAAAAAAGACAAAGGATGGATGGATTATGTAATGGTCCAGCCATCCATTTGTGAAATGGTCAGAGATGATTTTGTATGAAAAACCACAGGGGGTTCCAGTCGTGGTGTTATCCTGGGGTGATGTTGTCTGGGTGCTTCAACCTCTGGATGGGCTTTTCCCATGGTAAGATTAAGGCAAAGATTAGACAAAGGCTGATTCAAAATTTAAGTTGGTTTCGACTCCACAAAATGATGTGTGTGTGGTGCACCTGGTGGTCAAGACTTGGCTTCGTAGGGCTAAATCAGGCCACACTCAGAAACTACAGAAAGCCACTGCCAAGTGGTATGCAGGGTATGACATTGAGGTCAGGTTTTAAATTGAGTTTTTTCCCGTAATCAGTGTCATTTTCTAACTAAATATGTAGCGTATTTCTAAAGGTATGAGAACACTTTTAATGTTGTGGCAAAAATAATCCTGAAATAGCTTGTGTTTCTATTTGTTAAAGCTCGTTACAGTCCACTGTTGTTATGTTTGTGCTTATGGTAGTTCAACATAGTGAACACCGAGAACTTCTCCATTGGGATTTGAAAGATCAATATGTCCATCAGGTTGAGTTGAAGTGATTAACCTGAGAGTTTAAATCAATTCCATCATCCACCTCCCGCTGAGAATTCCTCCCCAAGGCTGCTGAACATAGGGCAGAGACTTGCTCTCAGGGGAGATAAAGCTGGATGGAAGGTTTCACTCGGAAATCCCTTGAGGAAAGAGGAGGACAAAGACAAAAGATCTCATCATATATGAGCTAAGCAACTGGAAATGCATGTCCGGTTTGACAGAGGAAAGAAACAGCTCTTTGTTTTTGTCCCCACTGGTAAATTGTCACTTCCTTCCAGGAACATGTGGCACAGGAAGTGCAAAATGGCAGTGACGATGAACCTAGAAATCTTTTTTACAAACGTTCTTGTTGAAAATAAAATTTCAGGTTTAGCTCAGCAGAAATAAATAACTCTTTCCTGTTTCAGCCTTTGCAGATAACTTTTGTTTTGATCCAATTCTTATCAAGTTGAAATATTATTGAAAAATTTATTTATTTATTTATTTCAGAAATTTTATTGAACAAGTAAAACATGCTAATTTTTATTACTGGTGACAATTATGGTTTGCTGCTAAAAACTCAAGACTAAGTTTCCCAGAAGGTTAGAGTATTACACAAATCTTAACAAAAACATTTTAAATACATAAATATTACCAGACACAAACATAATTTACAAACGTTTCAGCTGGAATTATTGAAATAAATTTACTGCTAAATGAGATTAACATCTAAAAGGACAAAGTTACCGAGTTGTGGCACAGGTATTTGCAGACTTGGCAATTAGCCAGAAGTTATCAAGTTCCACCTAAACTGAGAGGTATATGGTAATAGAAGATGTGACAACTACAGATTGTGTTTTGTATTGCATTATTGGTGTTCAGGGTCATTCAAAATACAGTTCTCGGTTACCAGAGATTCCATCAAACACCTGAGCCTGATAAACGACATAGTGTTGCAGTTTAAGCAACTCAAGCAAATCTTGGAGGACATTAAACTTGAGTCTTTGAATAGTTAAGATTTCACTATAATGTATACGCATGCACCTCAGACAAGATGTGCCTCTTGTACTGATGTGTCATATTATCCTCTTGTCACACATTGTGTTTTGCAGATACTTTAATGGCGCTCTCTTTGCCTAATCTGTCAGTTTGTCTTGGTAGATTTGCAATTGTTGTTCTCAGTTTTATTTCTCCAGTTCATGAGATTGAACTGTGGTCCATCAAATATTGGAAGCTTGGAATATTGTTTTATAACCTAACCCTGCTTTAAACCTGTTAAGAAAGTTATTCTTGACCTTATGTGGCATATTTCTTGATCATCATGATATTGTTAGTTCAATGACTAATTCTTGAGACCTGACAGCTGCGTTAAAACTAATATCAAATAATTCACAGGCACACTTTTTTATTAACTCATGTGACTTTAGAAGGCATTTGGTTATGGTAGTAAAGAACATTTAATATCTTTCATTCAATTACAAAAAAAAAAATGTAAATTTCCAAGAAACATTCATTATCTTCACAAATGTAACACATAGAAAAACAGGTTCCATGAGATTTAACAGGTAACATTGCTTTTACAGTTAGACTATGAGTTACATTGAGTAATTATTGCAACATTCCAGCAGGATGGAAAGAGGTAAAACAATAATAAAACAGCCCAATTTCAGAAACAACAATGATTAGCAGTTTTATTAAGTTACATATTAATACGTTTAAAATAAACCCCTGCAACATAGCTCACAGATTATTATGCTGTGTTCACTTGCAGTCAGAAATCTGAGGCTCATTTAAACACTAGTTCACATAGCATATGTTTAGATTTCACAGTGTTGTTTTTTACTGTGTGTTTTCCTGTAATTAACTAATCAAATCTAGAATAAAAGCATTAAAATCTCTGCCCTACAAGTGAATAAGTTGATTAGTATTGGTAGCCAGTTTACTTACTAAATAACATCTACAAGTACCTAGTTTTCTCAAAAATAACAAGCTATACTAACTGCATAACTAACCAATTACTTAAATCTTTTTTTGACCCATGTCTTGTTCAGACAGTTCATTTGAGTTTATTTTGACTCTACTGTTTATCATGCTTTAGCACTACATATGAGTTTTGGGTTGCGTACTTCCTGCCACAAGAAAAATAGATCACTGGGCAAGAATTTGTGAAGCAAAAGAAAATCTTTAAGGTAACAGGGGTCATTTTTATCAACTTGTCTGGAGGGAATGTGCCATTGTAGTGTTTGCACACCCATGTGAGAATCAGGTTTAAGTTTCGCTACAGCCAAACACATTCCCATGTAGACATCATCAATAGGAATAATTTGGACCGATGCAGATATTTTGTAAATGACCAAAGCTGTATAGCCTGACAGAAGGTATCCCCCACCTCCACAGTAGGGTGGGTAAAAATTCTTGTCATACACCTGTGTGGGAATGAAGTACTTATTATTTGGGTCTCTTTTAGGCATTGCATTTTGCAACAGATGTCCAGTAAAAAGGTGCTTCCTTCCATTATTATCTTTAAGACTTTGAAGATATTCAACCATGTTGTCAGTGTGGGCAAAAACATCATCATCACCATTCAGCAGAAATCGAGCCTGTGGACAACTTCTGTCCATCCACTCAAGGAAGAGTATCTGCTTCAAAGTGAGGTTGAAAAAGGAATCCTTAAAATCCCATTGGAGGATGTCATTGTAATGTTGGTGCTCCCACATGACAAGTTTGTTCAATTTCTCCTCCTCGAAACCTGAACCGCCAGTTCCGATAATAAAGATTCTTCGAATCACTTTTCCCTTATAGGACCTCTCAGCAGCCCAGGTCTTGCGCAGAACCTCTCTTCGCTCGTAGTTCTGTGGGGAACTTTTAATTACAAGCAAAAGAAAGACGTCCTCAGGCTCATCATCTCCTTGACATTTGTCAGGAAGGTCCAGAATTATGGGGAAACTGCGACAGTGACGATAGTAAAGGAAGTCTTGAAACATAGGGGAAAGGGACTCAAAGCCAGAGACATTTTCAAACATTGTGTTTTGTTCACATCTTGCTGTTAGGTTTTGTGACACCCTCTTCTTTTCCAATTGCCAATTTGACAATGGGAAAGTTTTGTGTAAAAATGAAGGTATCCAGACAAGGTTGGCACTAGATTGAGGTGTTGAGATGTTTTGTTGCTTATTGGAATAAAGAAGTACCAGAAGGATCATCAGCAGTAATACAGTTGTGGCACAGGTGTTCATCACTCTCAAAATTCTGAAATCAAAGAAACATAAAGAAATACAGCTTAGAATGACAACTCATCTATGTCTTATGTAAATACTTCCACTGCATTGTTTCTTCTGCCTTGTTTTACAGAGGAATTTAGGAACAGATTCTTTCCTAGTAGATGCCTTTTACATAGTCGACCGAACACTGTCACTTTAAATCAATAAGAGATCTGTGCAATGGGAATTTACATTAATATGCTTATAAAAAAGGTTTGGGTGACTTTTAACCTTTTGACTAAATTTGAAGAAAAGTTTGGCTACTGACTGTATTTCTCTTCCAAGACTCATGACAGTCTGCCACATTTTCATCAGAGAGGAGAAAAATAAACAAAATGACAGGGAGGTGATAAAAAAAGACTCATTTAACTCTAAAAACTTGTGGGAGATTACAGTTTTATTGAGGTAAAAATGCTAAAATGGAATAAAGTAATCTATAAACAAATATTCACATAAACCTTACGACAAGGGACATGGGATCTTTTTCTTCTCATTATCTGGCATAATTTCAGAGTAAACATTCCCGTGTTAGGGCTAGTAGGATTAGCAAAATTTCTTCTATTTGCTAAGTGCCTGGAATAAAAGGAGATGTATTTACATGTTTTATATTATTTTTTAAACTTTGGTCAGATTCAGAAGTGAAAATACAGATTTACTTTATATGCAAATGTGAGGTTTCAGACTTTTCATGCGCAACAATAAGAAGGAAGTGAAAAGAAATTCAACAGACACACAGGCAAACAAATATACAAAGAACCCAGCCCATTTAAAAAATCTTATGGGAAGATTAATGTTTCATGTTTGTATTGATTCTTTATTTCATAACAGTCTAAAAAAAGTACAAGACAACTCACCAACACCTTCGGTTGAAATTGAATCACAGAGATGGACAAAGATTTTATTGCAAATTTTATAAGCAACATGTATTTTTTAATACAGGCTGCATTGCTAAATGAGTAGGAAGATCTCTATAATGTGATTGCATTACTTTTTGTGATCTTGATGCTAAGACAATAGATTAATTTTGAATTTTGTTCGGATTAAGGCTAATAAACAGCAACAAAAGGCTTAAAGTAAGGCTCACAGATTAAGATACAGATCTTTATACAGTTTTATAGTTATACCATAAGGTTTTTAGTTTAGTCAGAAAAAGTCTTAATATTGTGATGACATTTAGGATAAAATAACTTATTTCATAATGAATACCAAGTCAACATTTCAAAAGATTTGTAGCCTTTCTATTTTCACATAAAGATGAAAACAATAACTGCTTTTTTACTTTCAAACATAGTTTTGAAAAAGAGATAGTGATGAAAAATGAAAACCTATAAAGAGAAGATAAAATATGACTCGAAATTTGTGACATACCTCCTGATTATTGTGAAAAGCAATCTAACTTCACAGAGGATAAATATCCAGTTATGAACAACAATGTACTTTACAAAACATTTTACAAACAAATGACCCTTTTAATTGATCAGAAACATTCAGGTGATCAAAATAACATATAAACTAAGCACAGCCCATAAATGTGGAAACTAATTTTACTATAATTACCTGACCATGTTGGTAGATGGTGAGTGCCTGATGAAATGACGAATTTATTCAATAAAGCAGGAAGAAATATCTTTTGAAGCCACACGTTTGAAAATTCTCATCGAAGCTACTTGTGAGACTGACAGGTCCTACATTACGTCTGTTAAGATATGTGTTAGATATTCAAGTTTTTTCACGATGCTGACATGTCAATAAACTGGTAGAGCAGGAAGTATTTCAGTTCTCTACCTTCATCTTCATTAGGCTTAACATTGAAGGATTGCAGTTGGAAAACAAATAGTTTACAGTTAATCTCAGTAGACCTATAACACAACGATCATACATTAAAAAAATTCTCACAGATCAAGACCACACCCACTAATAGAATAGTAAAATATAATGTAACTTTTTCCATGAAATAACTTTTATTGGAATTTTTTTTTCTTTTATCCCGTCAATTTAGTGAATACAAAAAAAAAAGACAAAGGATGGATGGATTATGTAATGGTCCAGCCATCCATTTGTGAAATGGTCAGAGATGATTTTGTATGAAAAACCACAGGGGGTTCCAGTCGTGGTGTTATCCTGGGGTGATGTTGTCTGGGTGCTTCAACCTCTGGATGGGCTTTTCCCATGGTAAGATTAAGGCAAGAGATTAGACAAAGGCTGATTCAAAATTTAAGTTGGTTTCGACTCCACAAAATGATGTGTGTGTGGTGCACCTGGTGGTCAAGACTTGGCTTCGTAGGGCTAAATCAGGCCACACTCAGAAAACTACAGAAAGCCACTGCCAAGTGGTATGCAGGGTATGACATTGAGGTCAGGTTTTAAATTGAGTTTTTTCCCGTAATCAGTGTCATTTTCTAACTAAATATGTAGCGTATTTCTAAAGGTATGAGAACACTTTTAATGTTGTGGCAAAAATAATCCTGAAATAGCTTGTGTTTCTATTTGTTAAAGCTCGTTACAGTCCACTGTTGTTATGTTTGTGCTTATGGTAGTTCAACATAGTGAACACCGAGAACTTCTCCATTGGGATTTGAAAGATCAATATGTCCATCAGGTTGAGTTGAAGTGATTAACCTGAGAGTTTAAATCAATTCCATCATCCACCTCCCGCTGAGAATTCCTCCCCAAGGCTGCTGAACATAGGGCAGAGACTTGCTCTCAGGGGAGATAAAGCTGGATGGAAGGTTTCACTCGGAAATCCCCTTGAGGAAAGAGGAGGACAAAGACAAAAAGATCTCATCATATATGAGCTAAGCAACTGGAAATGCATGTCCGGTTTGACAGAGGAAAGAAACAGCTCTTTGTTTTTGTCCCCACTGGTAAATTGTCACTTCCTTCCAGGAACATGTGGCACAGGAAGTGCAAAATGGCAGTGACGATGAACCTAGAAATCTTTTTTACAAACGTTCTTGTTGAAAATAAAATTTCAGGTTTAGCTCAGCAGAAATAAATAACTCTTTCCTGTTTCAGCCTTTGCAGATAACTTTTGTTTTGATCCAATTCTTATCAAGTTGAAATATTATTGAAAAATTTATTTATTTATTTATTTCAGAAATTTTATTGAACAAGTAAAACATGCTAATTTTTATTACTGGTGACAATTATGGTTTGCTGCTAAAAACTCAAGACTAAGTTTCCCAGAAGGTTAGAGTATTACACAAATCTTAACAAAAACATTTTAAATACATAAATATTACCAGACACAAACATAATTTACAAACGTTTCAGCTGGAATTATTGAAATAAATTTACTGCTAAATGAGATTAACATCTAAAAGGACAAAGTTACCGAGTTGTGGCACAGGTATTTGCAGACTTGGCAATTAGCCAGAAGTTATCAAGTTCCACCTAAACTGAGAGGTATATGGTAATAGAAGATGTGACAACTACAGATTGTGTTTTGTATTGCATTATTGGTGTTCAGGGTCATTCAAAATACAGTTCTCGGTTACCAGAGATTCCATCAAACACCTGAGCCTGATAAACGACATAGTGTTGCAGTTTAAGCAACTCAAGCAAATCTTGGAGGACATTAAACTTGAGTCTTTGAATAGTTAAGATTTTACTATAATGTATACGCATGCACCTCAGACAAGATGTGCCTCTTGTACTGATGTGTCATATTATCCTCTTGTCACACATTGTGTTTTGCAGATACTTTAATGGCACTCTCTTTGCCTAATCTGTCAGTTTGTCTTGGTAGATTTGCAATTGTTGTTCTCAGTTTTATTTCTCCAGTTCATGAGATTGAACTGTGGTCCATCAAATATTGGAAGCTTGGAATATTGTTTTATAACCTAACCCTGCTTTAAACCTGTTAAGAAAGTTATTCTTGACCTTATGTGGCATATTTCTTGATCATCATGATATTGTTAGTTCAATGACTAATTCTTGAGACCTGACAGCTGCGTTAAAAACTAATATCAAATAATTCACAGGCACACTTTTTATTAACTCATGTGACTTTAGAAGGCATTTGGTTATGGTAGTAAAGAACATTTAATATCTTTCATTCAATTACAAAAAAAAAAAAAAAAATGTAAATACCAAATAAAATTTCCAAGAAACATTCATTATCTTCACAAATGTAACACATAGAAAAACAGGTTCCATGAGATTTAACAGGTAACATTGCTTTTACAGTTAGACTATGAGTTACATTGAGTAATTATTGCAACATTCCAGCAGGATGGAAAGAGGTAAAACAATAATAAAACAATGATAGAATTTCAGAAACAACAATGATTAGCAGTTTTATTAAGTTACATATTAATACGTTTAAAATAACCCTGCAACATAGCTCACAGATTATTATGCTGTGTTCACTTGCAGTCAGAAATCTGAGGCTCATTTAAACACTAGTTCACATAGCATATGTTTAGATTTCACAGTGTTGTTGTTTTTTACTGTGTGTTTTCCTGTAATTAACTAATCAAATCTAGAATAAAAGCATTAAAATCTCTAACCCTACAAGTGAATAAGTTGATTAGTATTGGTAGCCAGTTTACTTACTAAATAACATCTACAAGTACCTAGTTTTTTCACTATGGTCAAAAATAACAAGCTATACTATCTGCATAACTAACGAATTACTTAAATCTTTTTTTGACCCATGTCTTGTTCAGACAGTTCATTTGAGTTATTTTGACTCTACTGTTTATTATGCTTTAGCACATGGGAGTTTTGGGTTGCGTACTTCCTGCCACAAGAAAAATAGATCACTGGGCAAGAATTTGTGAAGCAAAGAAAACCCTTAAGGTAACAGGGGTTATATTTTTTAACTTCTATGGAGGCAATGTGCCATTGTAGTGTTTGCACACCCATGTGAGAATCAGGTTTAAGTTTCGCTACAGCCAACACATTCCCATGTAGACATCATCAATAGGAATAATTTGGACCGATGCAGATATTTTGTAAATGACCAAAGCTGTATAGCCTGACAGAAGGTATCCCCCACCTCCACAGTAGGGTGGGTAAAAATTCTTGTCATACACCTGTGTGGGAATGAAGTACTTATTATTTGGGTCTCTTATAGGACTTGCATTTTGCAACAGATGTCCAGTAAAAAGGTGCTTCCTTCCATTATTATCTTTAAGACTTTGAAGATATTCAACCATGTTGTCAGTGTGGGCAAAAACATCATCATCACCATTCAGCAGAAATCGAGCCTGTGGACAACTTCTGTCCATCCACTCAAGGAAGAGTATCTGCTTCAAAGTGAGGTTGAAAAAGGAATCCTTAAAATCCCATTGGAGGATGTCATTGTAATGTTGGTGCTCCCACATGACAAGTTTGTTCAATTTCTCCTCCTCGAAACCTGAACCGCCAGTTCCGATAATAAAGATTCTTCGAATCACTTTTCCCTTATAGGACCTCAGCAGCCCAGGTCTTGCGCAGAACCTCTCTTCGCTCGTAGTTCGTGGGGAACTTTTAATTACAAGCAAAAGAAAGACGTCCTCAGGCTCATCATCTCCTTGACATTTGTCAGGAAGGTCCAGAATTATGGGGAAACTGCGACAGTGACGATAGTAAAGGAAGTCTTGAAACATAGGGGAAAGGGACTCAAAGCCAGAGACATTTTCAAACATTGTGTTTTGTTCACATCTTGCTGTTAGGTTTTGTGACACCCTCTTCTTTTTCAATTGCCTATTTGACGATGGGAAAGTTTTGTTTGAGGCATTGCGACTTTCTTCTTTTAAATATGAAGTTGTGCAGACATGGTTGTGACTAGATTGAGGTGTTGAGATGTTTTGTTGGTCATTGGAATAAAGAAGAACCAGAAGGATCATCAGCAGTAATAAAGTTGTGGCACAGTTGTAACTCATTCTCAAAATTCTGAAATCAAAGAAACATAAAGAAATGGAGCTTAGAATGACAACTCATCTATGTCTTATGTAAATACTTCCACTGCATTGTTTCTTCTGCCTTGTTTTACAGAGGAATTTAGGAACAGATTCTTTCCTAGTCGATGCCTTTTACATAGTCGACCGAACACTGTCACTTTAAATCAATAAGAGATCTGTGCAATGGGAATTTACATTAATATGCTTATAAAAAAGGTTTGGGTGACTTTTAACCTTTTGACTAAATTTGAAGAAAAGTTTGGCTACTGACTATTTCTCTTCCAAGACTCATGACAGTCTGCCACATTTTCATCAGAGAGGAGAAAAATAAACAAAATGACAGGGAGGTGATAAAAAAAGACTCATTTAACTCTAAAAACTTGTGGGAGATTACAGTTTTATTGAGGTAAAAATGCTAAAATGGTATAAAGTAAAAAATACCAACATTTTAAAAAAATCTTAAAGGAAGATTAATGAATTCATATCTAGTTATGAACAAAGATGTACTTTACAACAAAATAACACGAAAACTAAGCACAGCCCATAAATGTGAAACTAATTTTACTATAATTACCTGACCATGTTGGTAGATGGTGAGTGCCTGATGAAATGACGACTTTATTCAATAAAGCAGGAAGAAATATCTTTTGAAGCCACACGTTTGAGGATTCTCATCGAAGCTACTTGTGAGACTGACAGGTCCTCTGTGAAGTTTGAGATAGGCTTTAGGTACACAAGTTTTTCTACTTTAAGGCATCAGGTCACTAAACTGGTTGAGCAGGAAGTAGGAAGCCTTAGCATCCAAGCATTATTCAAATGTGTTTGTTGGGTAAGGCCAGTGTTGTAGTACTCGAAAACGGTCTTGGTCTCGAGACCGGTCTTAAGACCATTTTTTGATAGTCTCGGTCTTGTCTCGGACTCGACCACATTTGGTCTCGGTCTTGTCTCGGTCTCGGACATTGAGGACTCGGTATTTTATTTCAAGACCGGTCAAGACCACAACTGTGAAAATAACGCTAAATCATCAGTATCAATTTCTTTAAGATCCTTCTTTTTATTGGATGCACTCCTGATTCAAATCCAAGCAATAACCCGTCTCATTGGTAAATGCATGTTGTTGTTTTTTTAACTGCTGTCGCCCCACCCCCTTTCACCTTGAGCTGCGGACTGCAGCACTTCGATTGAAAGTTACAAGTGGTTGTCTGGGAAGGGGATAAGATGTCGGCCAAATCATCGGTTATAAAATTTGGCTATTTAAATCACAAACAATACATTTGTAAAGCAACATTGAGAAAAAAGCATACAGCGCAATGTAAGTTCTGCAGTGCTTCACTATCAGAGACGGTGGGGACTACGTCCAACTTTTATCGACACTTTTATCGATCAATCTTTTTTTCAACAAATTATCTGTGTCATAACATATTGTCACAACTTGGTGATAGATATAGATTTATTTAAGAAAAGTTATATAATGTAGCTATAATCTGTATACGAGAGAGAAACGAGAGAAATGATTGGCATTTTTTCAGTTTTACACATGTGCACATGGTTTGAAATAGCACATTTAAAAAAACAACATAAATGTATACTTGGCAGGGAAAATACTATTTTGATCGACTTTGATTGTTTGAAATTCTGTGATTACAACATAGAAGTACTAAATAAAGATGTTTGTTTATTCCAGTTCTCTGTGTAAAATATCTAGGTGTTTTTACGTGAATGTGGGTCCTTTAGATCAATTTTAGTGATTTTGATCATGTTTCACATTTTATTGTCACATACTGGCGCTGGTCTTGGTCTTGACTCGGTCTCGACTTCCCTCGGTCTTGGTCTTGACTTGGTCCCGAACCCTAAAAGTCTTGGTCTTGTCTCGGTCTCGATACACTCTGGTCTTGGTCTTGTCTTGGTCTCGGGTTAGGTGGTCTTGAACACAACACTGGGTAAGGCCATTGATGCTCGGAACCCCATAAAGTTCTGCTTCACTCACTCGAAAACTAACATAAAAGTTCAATACAATGCGAGTGCCTTGAATATATACGTAATTACTTTCTGTCTTTTCCTCATATAATAGAAGTATCTGCACTGTATTTATTTCAGTTCTCTACAGTACTTATTTCATTATCTTCATCTTCATTTGGCTTAACATTAAAGGATTGCAGTTGTAAATCAAATAGTTTACAGTTAATCTCAGCAGACCTATAATATAACGATCATACATTACTCAAAATTCCCACAAACCAAGAACAAACCCACTAATAGAATAGTAAAATATAATGTAACTTTTTCCATGAAAGAACTTTTATTGGAATTTTTTTTTCTTTTATCCCGTCAATTTAGTGAATACAAAAAAAAAGACAAAGGATGGATGGATTATGCAATGGTCCAGCCATCCATTCGTGAAATGGTCAGAGATGATTTTGTATGAAAAACCACAGGGGGTTCCAGTCGTGGTGTTATCCTGGGGTGATGTTGTCTGGGTGCTTCAACCCCTGGATGGGCTTTTCCCATGGTAAGATTAAGGCAAGAGATTAGACAAAGGCTGATTCAAAATTTAAGTTGGTTTCGACTCCACAAAATGATGTGTGTGTGGTGCACCTGGTGGTCAAGACTTGGCTTCGTAGGGCTAAATCAGGCCACACTCAGAAAACTACAGAAAGCCACTGCCAAGTGGTATGCAGGGTATGACATTGAGGTCAGGTTTTAAATTGAGTTTTTTCCCGTAATCAGTGTCATTTTCTAACTAAATATGTAGCGTATTTCTAAAGGTATGAGAACACTTTTAATGTTGTGGCAAAAATAATCCTGAAATAGCTTGTGTTTCTATTTGTAAAGCTCGTTACAGTCCACTGTTGTTATGTTTGTGCTTACGGTAGTTCAACATAGTGAACACCGAGAACTTCTCCATTGGGATTTGAAAGATCAATATGTCCATCAGGTTCAGTTGAAGTGATTAACCTGAGAGTTTAAATCAATTCCATCATCCACCTCCCGCTGAGAATTCCTCCCCAAGGCTGCTGAACATAGGGCAGAGACTTGCTCTCAGGGGAGATAAAGCTGGATGGAAGGTTTCACTCGGAAATCCCCTTGAGGAAAGAGGAGGACAAAGACAAAAAGATTCATCATATATGAGCTAAGCAACTGGAAATGCATGTCCGGTTTGACAGAGGAAAGAAGCAGCTCTTTGTTTTTGTCCCCACTGGTAAATTGTCACTTCCTTCCAGGAACATGTGGCACAGGAGGTGCAAAATGGCAGTGACGATGAACCTAGAAATCTTTTTTACAAACGTTCTTGTTGAAAATAAAATTTCAGGTTTAGCTCAGCAGAAATAAATAACTCTTTCCTGTTTCAGCCTTTGCAGATAACTTTTGTTTTGATCCAATTCTTATCAAGTTGAAATATTATTGAAAAATTTATTTATTTATTTCAGAAATTTTATTGAAAAAGTAAAACATGCTAATTTTTATTACTGGTGACAATTATGGTTTGCTGCTAAAAACTCAAGACTAAGTTTCCCAGAAGGTTAGAGTATTACACAAATCTTAACAAAAACATTTTAAATACATAAATATTACCAGACACAAACATAATTTACAAACGTTTCAGCTGGAATTATTGAAATAAATTTACTGCTAAATGAGATTAACATCTAAAAGGACAAAGTTACCGAGTTGTGGCACAGGTATTTGCAGACTTGGCAATTAGCCAGAAGTTATCAAGTTCCACCTAAACTGAGAGGTATATGGTAATAGAAGATGTGACAACTACAGATTGTGTTTTGTATTGCATTATTGGTGTTCAGGGTCATTCAAAATACAGTTCTCGGTTACCAGAGATTCCATCAAACACCTGAGCCTGATAAACGACATAGTGTTGCAGTTTAAGCAACTCAAGCAAATCTTGGAGGACATTAAACTTGAGTCTTTGAATAGTTAAGATTTTACTATAATGTATACGCATGCACCTCAGACAAGATGTGCCTCTTGTACTGATGTGTCATATTATCCTCTTGTCACACATTGTGTTTTGCAGATACTTTAATGGCGCTCTCTTTGCCTAATCTGTCAGTTTGTCTTGGTAGATTTGCAATTGTTGTTCTCAGTTTTATTTCTCCAGTTCATGAGATTGAACTGTGGTCCATCAAATATTGGAAGCTTGGAATATTGTTTTATAACCTAACCCTGCTTTAAACCTATTAAGAAAGTTATTCTTGACCTTATGTGGCATATTTCTTGATCATCATGATGTTGTTAGTTCAATGACTAATTTTTGAGACCTGACAGCTGCGTTAAAACTAATATCAAATAATTCACAGGCACACTTTTTTATTAACTCATGTGACTTTAGAAGGCATTTGGTTATGGTAGTAAAGAACATTTAATATCTTTCATTCAATTACAAAAAAAAAAATGTAAATTTCCAAGAAACATTCATTATCTTCACAAATGTAACACATAGAAAAACAGGTTCCATGAGATTTAACAGGTAACATTGCTTTTACAGTTAGACTATGAGTTACATTGAGTAATTATTGCAACATTCCAGCAGGATGGAAAGAGGTAAAACAATAATAAAACAGCCCAATTTCAGAAACAACAATGATTAGCAGTTTTATTAAGTTACATATTAATACGTTTAAAATAAACCCCTGCAACATAGCTCACAGATTATTATGCTGTGTTCACTTGCAGTCAGAAATCTGAGGCTCATTTAAACACTAGTTCACATAGCATATGTTTAGATTTCACAGTGTTGTTTTTACTGTGTTTTCCTGTAATTAACTAATCAAATCTAGAATAAAAGCATTAAAATCTCTGCCCTACAAGTGAATAAGTTGATTAGTATTGGTAGCCAGTTTACTTACTAAATAACATCTACAAGTACCTAGTTTTCTCAAAAATAACAAGCTATACTATCTGCATAACTAACCAATTACTTAAATCTTTTTTGACCCATGTCTTGTTCAGACAGTTCATTTGAGTTTATTTTGACTCTACTGTTTATCATGCTTTAGCACTACATATGAGTTTTGGGTTGCGTACTTCCTGCCACAAGAAAAATAGATCACTGGGCAAGAATTTGTGAAGCAAAAGAAAATCTTTAAGGTAACAGGGGTCATTTTTATCAACTTGCCTGGAGGGAATGTGCCATTGTAGTGTTTGCACACCCATGTGAGAATCAGGTTTAAGTTTCGCTACAACCAAACACATTCCCATGTAGACATCATCAATAGGAATAATTTGGACCGATGCAGATATTTTGTAAATGACCAAAGCTGTATAGCCTGACAGAAGGTATCCCCCACCTCCACAGTAGGGTGGGTAAAAATTCTTGTCATACACCTGTGTGGGAATGAAGTACTTATTATTTGGGTCTCTTTTAGGCATTGCATTTTGCAACAGATGTCCAGTAAAAAGGTGCTTCCTTCCATTATTATCTTTAAGACTTTGAAGATATTCAACCATGTTGTCAGTGTGGGCAAAAACATCATCATCACCATTCAGCAGAAATCGAGCCTGTGGACAACTTCTGTCCATCCACTCAAGGAAGAGTATCTGCTTCAAAGTGAGGTTGAAAAAGGAATCCTTAAAATCCCATTGGAGGATGTCATTGTAATGTTGGTGCTCCCACATGACAAGTTTGTTCAATTTCTCCTCCTCGAAACCTGAACCGCCAGTTCCGATAATAAAGATTCTTCGAATCACTTTTCCCTTATAGGACCTCTCAGCAGCCCAGGTCTTGCGCAGAACCTCTCTTCGCTCGTAGTTCTGTGGGGAACTTTTAATTACAAGCAAAAGAAAGACGTCCTCAGGCTCATCATCTCCTTGACATTTGTCAGGAAGGTCCAGAATTATGGGGAAACTGCGACAGTGACGATAGTAAAGGAAGTCTTGAAACATAGGGGAAAGGGACTCAAAGCCAGAGACATTTTCAAACATTGTGTTTTGTTCACATCTTGCTGTTAGGTTTTGTGACACCCTCTTCTTTTCCAATTGCCAATTTGACAATGGGAAAGTTTTGTGTAAAAATGAAGGTATCCAGACAAGGTTGGCACTAGATTGAGGTGTTGAGATGTTTTGTTGCTTATTGGAATAAAGAAGTACCAGAAGGATCATCAGCAGTAATACAGTTGTGGCACAGGTGTTCATCACTCTCAAAATTCTGAAATCAAAGAAACATAAAGAAATACAGCTTAGAATGACAACTCATCTATGTCTTATGTAAATACTTCCACTGCATTGTTTCTTCTGCCTTGTTTTACAGAGGAATTTAGGAACAGATTCTTTCTAGTAGATGCCTTTTACATAGTCGACCGAACACTGTCACTTTAAATCAATAAGAGATCTGTGCAATGGGAATTTACATTAATATGCTTATAAAAAAGGTTTGGGTGACTTTTAACCTTTTGACTAAATTTGAAGAAAAGTTTGGCTACTGACTGTATTTCTCTTCCAAGACTCATGACAGTCTGCCACATTTTCATCAGAGAGGAGAAAAATAAACAAAATGACAGGGAGGTGATAAAAAAAGACTCATTTAACTCTAACTTGTGGGAGATTACAGTTTTATTGAGGTAAAAATGCTAAAATGGAATAAAGTAATCTATAAACAAATATTCACATAAACCTTACGACAAGGGACATGGGATCTTTTTCTTCTCATTATCTGGCATAATTTCAGAGTAAACATTCCCGTGTTAGGGCTAGTAGGATTAGCAAAATTTCTTCTATTTGCTAAGTGCCTGGAATAAAAGGAGATGTATTTACATGTTTTATATTATTTTTTAAACTTTGGTCAGATTCAGAAGTGAAAATACAGATTTACTTTATATGCAAATGTGAGGTTTCAGACTTTTCATGCGCAACAATAAGAAGGAAGTGAAAAGAAATTCAACAGACACACAGGCAAACAAATATACAAAGAACCCAGCCCATTTAAAAAATCTTATGGGAAGATTAATGTTTCATGTTTGTATTGATTTCTTTATTTCATAACAGTCTAATAAAAAAGTACAAGACAACTCACCAACACCTTCGGTTGAAATTGAATCACAGAGATGGACAAAGATTTTATTGCAATTTTATAAGCAACATGTATTTTTTAATACAGGCTGCATTGCTAAATGAGTAGGAAGATCTCTATAATGTGATTGCATTACTTTTTGTGATCTTGATGCTAAGACAATAGATTAATTTTGAATTTTGTTCGGATTAAGGCTAATAAACAGCAACAAAAGGCTTAAAGTAAGGCTCACAGATTAAGATACAGATCTTTTATACAGTTTTATAGTTATACCATAAGGTTTTTAGTTTAGTCAGAAAAAGTCTTAATATTGTGATGACATTTAGGATAAAATAACTTATTTCATAATGAATACCAAGTCAACATTTCAAAATTTGTAGCCTTTCTATTTTCACATAAAGATGAAAACAATAACTGCTTTTTTACTTTCAAACATAGTTTTGAAAAAGAGATAGTGATGAAAAATAAAAACCTATAAAGAGAAGATAAAATATGACTCGAAATTTGTGACATACCTCCTGATTATTGTGAAAAGCAATCTAACTTCACAGAGGATAAATATCCAGTTATGAACAACAATGTACTTTACAAAACATTTTACAAACAAATGACCCTTTTAATTGATCAGAAACATTCAGGTGATCAAAATAACATATAAACTAAGCACAGCCCATAAATGTGGAAACTAATTTTACTATAATTACCTGACCATGTTGGTAGATGGTGAGTGCCTGATGAAATGACGAATTTATTCAATAAAGCAGGAAGAAATATCTTTTGAAGCCACAAGTTTGAAAATTCTCATCGAAGCTACTTGTGACACTGACAGGTCCTACATTACGTCTGTTAAGATATGTGTTAGATATTCAAGTTTTTTCACGATGCTGACATGTCAATAAACTGGTAGAGCAGGAAGTATTTCAGTTCTCTACCTTCATCTTCATTTAGCTTAACATTGAAGGATTGCAGTTGGAAATCAAATAGTTTACAGTTAATCTCAGTAGACCTATAATACAACGATCATACATTAAAAAAATTCTCACAGATCAAGACCAAACCCACTAATAGAATAGTAAAATATAATGAATCTTTTTCCATGTAAGAGCATGTATTGAAATTTTTTTTCTTTTATCCCGTCAATTTAGTGAATACAAAAAAAAAAGTCAAAGGATGGATGGATTATGTAATGGTCCAGCCATCCATTCGTGAAATGGTCAGAGATGATTTTGTATGAAAAACCACAGGGGGTTCCAGTCGTGGTGTTATCCTGGGGTGATGTTGTCTGGGTGCTTCAACCCCTGGATGGGCTTTTCCCATGGTAAGATTAAGGCAAGAGATTAGACAAAGGCTGATTCAAAATTTAAGTTGGTTTCGACTCCACAAAATGATGTGTGTGTGGTGCACCTGGTGGTCAAGACTTGGCTTCGTTGGGCTCAATCAGGCCACACCCAGAAAACTACAGAAAGCCACTGCCAAGTGGTATGCAGGGTATGACATTGAGGTCAGGTTTTAAATTGAGTTTTTTCCCGTAATCTAAGTATATAGCGTATTTCTAAAGGTATGAGAACACTTTGAATGTTCTGGCAAATATGATACTGAAATAGCTTGTGTTTCTCTTTGTTAAAGCTCGTTACAGTCCACTGTTGTTATGTTTGTGCTTATGGTAGTTCAACATAGTGAACACCGAGAACTTCTCCATTGGGATTTGAAAAATCAATATGTCCATCAGGTTCAGTTGAAGTGATTAACCTGAGCGTTTAAATCAATTCCATCATCCACCTCCCGCTGAGAATTCCTCCCCAAGGCTGCTGAACATAGGGCAGAGACTTGCTCTCAGGGGAGATAAAGCTGGATGGAAGGTTTCACTCGGAAATCCCCTTGAGGAAAGAGGAGGACAAAGACAAAAAGATCTCATCATATATGAGCTAAGCAACTGGAAATGCATGTCCGGTTTGACAGAGGAAAGAAGCAGCTCTTTGTTTTTGTCCCCACTGGTAAATTGTCACTTCCTTCCAGGAACATGTGGCACAGGAGGTGCAAAATGGCAGTGACGATGAACCTAGAAATCTTTTTTACAAACGTTCTTGTTGAAAATAAAATTTCAGGTTTAGCTCAGCAGAAAGAAATAACTCTTTCCTGTTTCAGCCTTTGCAGATAACTTTTGTTTTGATCCAATTCTTATCAAGTTGAAATATCATTGAAAAATTTATTTATTTATTTCAGAAATTTTATTGAACAAGTAAAACATGCTAATTTGTATTACTGGTGAAAATTATGGTTTGCTGCTAAAAACTCAAAATTATGTTTCCCAGAAGGTTAGAGTATTGCACAAATCTTAACAAAAACATTTTAAATACATAAATATTACCAGACACAAACATAAATTACAAAAGTTTCAGCTGGAATTATTGAAATAAATGTACTACTAAATGAGATTGACATCTAAAAGGACAAAGTTACCGAGTCTTATCATGCAGACTTGGCAAATAGCCAGAGGTTATGAAGTTCAACCTAAACTGAGGTATGGGGAAATGTGGGTGAAACCAAAGTTTCTGCTTGTCACTTGATATGTTCTGTTGACTGGTTGCATTTCTCGCTTTTCTGCTTTTGTATCTCCATGCAACCTTGTCGTTTTGCAAACAACAATTAAGCCAACTAAATAGACCATCAATCTAAAATTGTTAATTCTATTGTGTGCGTGTTTGTTTTATTTCAGCATGTTGTTGTGTATTTTGCTGCCTGCATTCTGTTATATGGTAATAGAACAGAACACTGCAAATCTTGGAGAAGGAGATTAAATTTGATTGTCGTTGTAGTGATATTAGAATATTTGACTAACATGATCTTTCCAAGCTGAAATATCTTTGTTTTGGTAGGTTTCCACTAGAGAAGATATTTATTCACATTAGCACAAAAATTTCAATCATTATTTGTATTAATAATCTGCATTAATAAGCTATATACATACAGAGATTACAAAGTTTTTTTTAATAAAATCTTTTTTAATGCATAAAGCATATCACTATTACACAGAGTATTTTATATTTGGACATTCACATAATGTATATATACATTATGTGTATATATACATCATAATGTATATATCATAGTATATATACATCATAATGTATATATACATTATGATGTAAAATAATTCACTATTTGCCTTTATTAGTTTCATAATAGTGTCTTAACATTCCATCTCCTAAACTATTCATCCTGGCCATTTGATGTCACCATATTTAAATGTTTGAGATACTTTGAAACACTGAACTTTTCAACATTATTGCTGGAGGAAAATTTGCTAAAATAAATTGTGCAGATCACTGACATGCAGCACGAACAAGGAGGCCCACAAATCTCTCATTTATTTCTTGATCTCCTCTGATCAATCCACTAAGGTGTGCTTACACTTCCTGCTGCTCGGTATCTGTGCTAACTTGTCTGACAAGTAATACTTGACAAGTGGTGGATATAACTGTATGGTTTTTATGCAACACAGAAGCACATGTGTTGGTGTTAAACATTTATTCATCCAATCACTGAATAAATATTTAGAACAGATAAATGTGTGGATGTCCCAAAACTTTCTTCAGCTGAACAGAAACAAAACTGAAGTCATTATTTTTGGACCTAAAAAAGAACAAACTAGAGTCAATGCACAGCTTCAGTTATTACAACTAAAAACTAGCGATCACTACTCCCCGAACCCTGGGAGTAGGAATGGACTCGGACTTGAACCTTGCGAGCCAAATAAAGACGATTACAAAGTCGGCCTTCTATCACCTGAAGAACATCTCCAGGATTAGAGGACTAATGTCTCAGCCAGATCTAGAGAAACTCATCCATGCGTTTATCTTTAGTTGCATTGATTATTGTAACAGCGTCTTCACAGGTCTGTCCAACAAATCAATCAAACAGCTGCAGCTGATCCAGAATGCTGCTGCTCGCGTTCTCACTAAAACCAGGAAGATAGAGCACATAACACCAGTTTTAAAGTCCCTCCACTGGCTCCCTGTAGCTCAAAGAATAGATTTTTAAAATACTGTTGTTAGTTTACAAATCACTGAATGGTTCAGCACCACAATACATCAAAGATTTGCTGTTGTTGTATCAACCTTCCAGACCTCTCAGGTCTTCTGGTTCTGGTCTGCTTTGCATCCCCAGAACCAGAACCAAAAGAGGAGAAGAAGCTTTCAGCATCTTTGCACCAAAAATTTGGAACAAACTTCCAGAAAACTATAAAACAGCAGAAACCCTGACTTCCTTTAAATCTCAACTAAAAACACACCTGTTTAGAATTGTATTTGAAACGTAATATGTAACAATGTATTGTCTATCTTATGATGCATGACTTTGTGTTTTTGTGTTTGTTATGTAAAGCACTTTGCTTGTTGCTGAAATGTGCTATACAAATAAAATTTGATTTGATTTGATTTGATGTGGCATAATTTTAAGATCTTGACTCTGATTGAGTAATTTTTTTTCAACTAAGTTGAAATTTACTTAGTTCAATGCATTAGATTCTAACATGATCTCCACATTCCCCACTTCCACAGCCGCATCCATGTTTGAAATGACTCTCGTCATATTTCTTCACTGTTTTACACTCTACATTTATTGAGACTTTAATCAGTTTAGTAGCCACTAACACCAACTTTACTTTCTGTTTTCCCAATTCACAGACGCACAGGTTCTGTAATCCTGGCCTAACACACATCAGGCTCTGTTAGTAGGAGCTTTGTTTAGTTTCTCCACCTGTAGTTGATTTTCTTAATCACTTATTTGTGGTCACATTCACTGCTTTTAGAAGCTTTTGATACAATGGGAATGATTTTTAATAGTGGCTGCTATGAAGCCAACTATTGAGCCATGTAGTAAACAGTTATCACTTTTATTGACTTGAGCGTAAACTATTATTGAAGAATTTATTGAGTTAATACTTGAAATCTGTTGTTTACTTAATTCTGTCTGAAGTGTGATAAAAAAAGGAGAGATTTAATTTTTGTATGTGACCTCTGAGAATCTTTGAAGTTAAGTCAGGAGGGATAAAGTGGTATCTTGTGGCCTTTGCTTAGTGGCTTTTTTGTCTGCTCTTCCTTCTGTAGGTCTATCTTATCAAAGTGACTTACTCAGACTCCAGTTCCCATGTCATCTACCGAAGATATAGCAAGTTTTTTGACCTGCAGGTAAGTCATGCTTGCAAAAACAAAATGTCTTTCACAGCTTTAATTCACATTTACATTTAATACTTCTCAAAACTTGATATTAGGGTAGCCTCATCTTGTGTTGCTAATTATACTCAATAAAGCCTGTGTGACATTAAGGCCCCTGCTTTCTGCTCTGCTGATGCAGATGCTTTGCTTCTGTGAAAACCTATTTTAGGATGACTGCTTAGAACCAAGAAAAGAGGGGACATCCAGACAGCAGATACAGGAAAAAACATGACCTCTGTCAGAATGCATAATGTGGCAAAGTCTCCACAAAAGTTCAAGCATCAGCCCTCCAGAGGATATGCTTAAGCGAACGCATGGTGCAGCTTGTTTGTTGGAAAGATAATGTATGTAAACTTCTGTGAGGTTTAAATGTAAGAGAGGTTTAAATCTTTAAAAACACATCATTCCTGTATGTTTCTGGCTTCTGTCTGATAACCCCTTCTTCCAGACTGAATTCCAGAGCGCCATGACTCCGGTGGGCTGCTTGCAGGAAACCTTTTGTTCTCTGGTCCCTTAGCAATAGCCTGGAAAATTCTGCTGCTCAATGAGATTACAACAGAGGATCTCTCCTGTCTGTGTAATCATTGGTCTCGTCTGT